CCAGCCAGGCACTGCAGTAACCTCTCTGCTCAGCAAGGACATGCTCTTCTGCAGGGATCAGACCCCAGAGGAGCCCCAGGCACTAAGGATGTAACGGTGCAGTCGATTAACCGATAAGCAAGAGCGGCTAGGTTAATGCTCTAGACTACATGCATTTCCCTCCCCCGCACCCTTGCTAGTACATTTTTTAGCAGGCAGGCCAGCCCGGCTCAGTTCTGGCTCATGCTGGGTCCAGGAGCTCAGACCCACCTTAGACAGGTGCCGCTGCTGGCCCCGCCCCCGGACTATAGACTAGCCAAGTAACCAATAAGAATTCACAAGGTTACTCGACTATTCAATGAACCGGTATTTAACATCCTTATTGTGCATTCCTCCTCTGGCCTCTACCACAGCAGCTGGGCTCCCCAGAAGCCAGCACATATCCGCTGCCAGCTCCTCACATCTCCCCCGTGGTCCTGGAATGACCCCTCTGGGCTCTTACCCACATCAAAAGCCTCCTTGAACCTAACTTCAACACAACCCTTTCCCCCCCCCCGCCACTTAGCTCAGGTCCCTCACCCCAACCCCTCTGCAGTCTGGCCTCAAACACTCTTGGCTTAGCCTTAGCCTTGTCTCTCCATCTCATCACAGCTCAACTTTCCCGCTTGGCCAGGCCCTCTTCCCTGCCGTTTGCTTCCAGATGGGCTGAACCCTCTAATTACCCAGCTTTAATTACCACTGGCTGGATTTCATTGGCTCTCCAGGCTCATCCTTGCTCCCCAATGAAGTTACAATGTCCTGTTACCCAGCAACAGGCAGCATATGCCTCAAAGGAATCGTGAGACTTGCATTCCCAGGAAGGATGGAGCATGAGACGAGAGGCGGCTTCCCTAGAGCCTTCCCCGGCACAGGCAAAATGCAAGTTGCCCCAGCCTCCCTTGTCTAGGGAGAGGGGCAGGCCTGTGGCTTTCAGAGCAGGGATTTGTGCTGCTATTACACAAGCCCAATACAACCGCAGTGCTTCTGCTGGACAAAAATCCAAACGATGGCACCACTCCCTTGGCCCCGTTTGCAGCCCAACCCCTGCAGCGCCATGTAGGCACGTGGGAACCTGGGTGCCCAACCGACGGCAAGCCGCTCTGCTCTAGCTCAGCCACAAGCCATCGCCACTTGCTGCGTGAAGCCTCTGGCCTGTATTGTGCCGGGCGTCCAACTAGATGATCGAGTCTGGCTGCTAGATCACACAGCCTGCCACGAGGGAAACGGATGAGACCAGGTGAAGCTCAAAAGATAAACAAAAGGGAGGGGGGGTGAATGGTGAAAAGTACCTTCCAGGCCAGACACCTGCCGCTTTGCGCTGCTCAAGTGACAGAGCAGCAGAGCGACAGGAGCACACCAGCCCTGCATCTGTGCAAGGGGCTCTCAGCTGTGACGCAATAGATGTGGCGGGAGGCAGGGGGGTTTGTTCGGTGTTACGGTTTAGGCCCTTCACAATCAGGGCTGGTTCCCCCAGATTTCTAGGGGGCTAAGGAAGGAAATATTGCATCAGAGCTGGGCTCTGCGCAAGTCACTCTGCCCTCACCTTAGCACAAGGGGCACGTCAGAGAATAATGCCATGGGGGAGGCAAAGGTCTTTGCTACAACTCTACTCTGCAGCGGATATAAAGTCCATATACGCCTGGTGCTCATTGGAGCAGCCACATAAGCTGCTGTAACTTACCAGAGCCAGCCCAACCTGGCTCGCAAAAATAAAGGTATCAAGGTAAGTTCTGAGGCCCATTAAATCATGCGCCACTGGAGAGGTCGTGTACACAGGGTTGCGAAAGTATTGCTAATGATTACCGTGAATTAGCGAATATAACCCACAGATTGTCAATGTTACCACCAACCACACCCTTGCCCTTCCTCCCCACCCCCGCAGAGTATACATGTCCGCATCTTACGCGAGTTGATTGTTACTCGTAGTAAAAGACGACAAGACCAACATATTAAATCAAAGATGCTGATTTTATTAAGAGCAGCAGTGGTGTTGTGTGGGTTTAACACACAATAAAAGTTAACACATTACTTACCGTGAAGCTACTAACAGTATAACAAGACCTGTATTATTGGGGGATGTCAATCTTTATAGCTGGGAAGTGGCAACTACATCGAAGACCATCTTTTATGAAGGCGGCAGAAGTCTCTGCGGGCTGTGTACGTCTGCAGGTAATCTAATTTTTTAATACACGATAGAAAAGCTGCGGGTAATCCATGAGGACGTGTTATACATGGACGCGTGTTATATTTGCTAATGTACGGTACTGTATCGCCCCCGGCATAGATGCCAGACCCTAGAAGGAACAGGCCCCTAAAGCCATCGTAAGGGCCAGAGATACTAGGCATTATGAGGAGCTACAGGCAGTTCTCAAGCCCAATTGATCAGAGCTCCCCAGGAGCCATGGCCTGCAGCCCTAACCCTTTTCCCCATATGCACCGAGGGGCAAGGGCACAGACGTTAAGGGTGGGGATGAAGAGGACACTGAGCCTCGATATGAAGGCAACCTTTGGGGGCTCTGGACAAACATCTTGCTGCCCGCAACCCTACGCCAGAGCCTGATGAGGAAGGAGAAGCACACGAGTACACACGCACCCCGTTCGTGATGCATGGGGCTGGGATTCAGGCAGAAGCAGGTTTCTGCCGACAGGTCTGTCATGATTCCTGTAACTGCTCCCTGGGCTCCTACTTATAGACTCCGAGCTGGAAGAGACCTCAGAAGGTCATCAAGTCCAGCCCCCAACTCAATCAACCCTGGTACTTCACTGGTTTCTCTTCCATGGTGCTGA